ATCATTGCAGTGGACAGCACCATGGTTGCTCAAAGTCACCAGATTCCTTCCAGGGATCAAGTACTGTTTAATTGCTTTGCAGACACTGGGAGTCTATCACTTAGAAATGATTCGTCTCGCAGTGCCAGGTTAGTTATGAAAAATACAAAGACTTTCCGTTATGAAATGTGTGTGTTATGGTTGCTATGCAAGGAAGAATGCAATTTTTTTAAAATTCCAAAATGCTAGAAGGAGACTGTGTCCACTGCTGAAGCTTCATGCTTAGAGAAAGGCTGTTTCCTTTCTGCACTGGGACATGGGTGCCCCGCTCAGCCTCATCACGCTGGCTTCTGTTTTATTGCAGGTGAATGGAAAGGCTGCTGCCTGCAGACTTTCTTATTTTTATTTTTGAGAAACCTGAGAATTAAAGCTTTGCCTTTTCATTCTCTGGGGTGAGAGAACTGTGGGTTCTGAATTGACTCTTTGCCAGGCAGTTGGCCTCGCTGTGCTGGGATAATTTGGATGCAGCAACAAATAAAGCAATCAAAAAGAAAATTCCTCAGAAACTCTCACTGGTATTTAATATTTTATTCATTCCCATGTTATTGTGCTTCGCCTGTGGCGAAGCAGCCTCAAAACAGCCTCCTAGGAGTGAGGTACTGGGAGGCTGACAAGCATTTCCCCATGAATTGCTACTACAATACAATGGCATTTTGTTTGCTGTTTTGTTTCCTTGTCTTCTAACATTCTTTCTGACTTTCAAGAAAAAAAAGAAGAAGAAGAAGAAGAAAAAGAAAAAGAAACTCTCCTGTGAATGGCAAAGAAAAGGAAAGAAACGTTTCTTTTAAACTTTCAACCTTTTTCATTTGGTACTGGGTAGCATGTAAACATTTTTTTTTCTCATGGTATATATGCCGAGTGTCTCTTCCCTTTCTTGTGCTTTAAATGGCCTTTATTTTTCTTTTTCCACATAGCCTTGCCTTCCCATTATTGATTCAAAAAAATCGACAAGCGGGGGAAAATCAACCGTGTACACATTAAGAAAGAGAAGTCAGAGGAAGATGGATCAAACCATCCATCTATCCATGTGGTCATTTATCTATCAATCCATCTAGCTACCCACCCGCCTCTATGAAAATAAATAGCAGGCACTGTACACATTGCTGGTTGGCCGAAGTTGTGATCTGGACAAAAGCTCTGTCTGGGAAAAGGATGCTGAAGCTCTAATTCTATTTGTGCCGGTTGAAAATCAGGAGGGGTTTTTCTACACTTCACTTTTATTAGATTATTTCTTATAGATGGTTTCTTTTTTCCTCCCAGACGCGTGGTGCAGGCTGCAGAAGCAGTTGGTCTATAGTTGGAATAATTAAATTAACCATTTGGTACAACTTTTAGGGGAGAGCTCGCGTGTAGAAAGCACAACTCGAACAAAACAGGGCGTTGGGGCTGGGGCCTCCGGCCTGGCCCGGCCCCGCACGCCTTTCATCTCAGGAGCAGACGCGGGACTCGGGACCACAAAAGACGGGCAGAGGGGATGGACGATGGGCCGGGGGTGGGGGTGGCGGATAAAGGGACGGTGACACTGAACAAAATAAACCTACAAGGCCTACAATGGGGAAAATGAAGTCAAGCGCGTTTGCTCATCCGACCGTGCGGTCGCGGCGCTGAAAGGTCGGGGTACAAAGCGGAGGCGCACAGCGAGTTCACCAGGCCGGGCCCGGCACCAGGGGGCGCCTCCAAGGAGCCCGGGCGGGTCCCGGCACCCGAGCCTGGGCCGGTGCGGTGGGTTAGGCAAGGGGGCCCGCAAAGGTCGGTCGGAGCTGGGGACACCCAGCGCAAGGAGAGACCAAGACTAAGTCCAGCGGGAGGTCCCGGGGTGTGCGACGCCGGGTAATCCCAGTTCTGCCCGGCGCGGCCGGAGGGGCACATCCCACCACTGGCTCCGAGTTCTCGCCGGCTTCCTCCCGATGTCACTCTCCAATTCCTGTTGAACCGTCAGCTCCCTGGGCTGCGCGCTGCCCGCTGCCCGCTGCCCGCTGCCCGACCCTCTCCAAGTACCGGCGGCGGGACCGACTGCTTCCACGCACCTCCTACGGCCCTGAAGTTTCTTCCACCCTTGCACCTAAAATACATCCTCGAAAAGCTGCAACAAAACAAAACAAAACAAAACAAAAAAACAACTCGATTTCTTGGGTGCCCTCCACTCCACACCAAGCCAGCCGGGGCCTGTGGACTTTCTATAAATGAGCACTGCGGGCAGAATTGCCCTAACGTTCGCATCCGGCGTAGGACTCCCAGGCCGGGGCCGCCGGGATGGAGCCACCCCGGGCTAGGGTGCAGACTCCTTAGGACGCCTGAGACACAATCTCTTGCATCAAGGTTCAAGGATGGGGGTGGGAGGGGATGCACTGAAAGGTGTGAACCTTTTTAAGTTTGGCCGTGGGTGGGTTCGGAAGGCAAAATGCGTTCCCTCCTGGATTCCCGGGTTTCACTCTTATCTGGAAAGAAATGCGCTTCCACT